CCAGTGCTCTACATAACACAGTATACATGATGACACATTGTGTGAAATTGTAAGACCTGCAAATCTTCATTTGTTATTACAATATTGCTGTAACTGTAAACCACCGTCATTGACAAGAATGAAGGCGTCAGACATTTTAGGTGACAAATCCTGATTTCATAGACACTTTTCAAGTCAAATACAGCAAAGGAGGCTTACAGGAAATCTGCTCCAAGTACTGTAGCTCCAACAGATTTCACTGCATCACCGACAGTCAGGCAATATTAGATCATCATTTATAAAAGCTACACAGCAAACACAGTGCCAACATACACACTGTTTTGTATTGTTTAGTGATATTTTTAACTTCTGCCCAGCTAATTAATTTGCGTTCCTTTCTTTTCCATCAGAAAACACACACACACACACACACACACACACACACACACACACACACACACACTCAGGTCTAATACAAGCGAGCTCGGAGCAGATTGCTACAATAGTATCATAAATTGTAATGGCCAGACTCTCCTTGATTACACAAAGTCTTATCTGTGGGTCGCGTGCTCTCTGTTCAAACACATGCACACAGATTACGTGTGCGTGAATAAACACTGACCATTTGGCGGGTCCCTCTCTCTCTTAAGTCCCACTGGAGCTCAAACACAAACCTGCGACCCCGCAGGTCAAACAAAGAGCTGTTTAGTCCTAAAGGTCAAAGGGCAGATACAGAGAAATCACAGAGTGGGAGCTCAGCTGGAATCACAGAGGTTTTCTGCAGGTGTGATAAAGTCGTTCTTGACCCACGCTGTTATCATTTATTCTGCATTTTGGCATTGACAGGTTCCTTCCATCTGATCAGGATGCTGTTAGACGAGTACATCCTCTTGGCTCTGGAGACTCAGTTCAACAATGACAAGGAGCAGGATCTGCAGAACCTGCTGGACAAATACATGAAAAATGCAGGTATCAACATCACAACACACAAAGAGAAGCTCAGCTGCTGTCAGACATCCAGAATTAACTCTCTGCAGGTCCACTGTCTGTTTAGGATTTAAGATCAAGGTAGTGGTAAAGGTCATCTAAATGTAGCTGCAGATGATGACAAACTTTGTAGGATGAGAATAGTAAAGTCTGTTTATAAGGGAAATAAAAGTGCAAATGAAAAATACAAGAAAGTGGCTGAACTTCAGATTGATTGTGATTAAAATTACCCACCTTACATAATTGGAAGAACTGATTAATGTTAATTTAGGTGTTTGTTTACACTACATCCTCATATAGCATGTAATGAGTCCTACAACGACAATAAATCAACGTCAACACAACTGCTTTTATGGAGAAACTCAAACACTCACAGTATTACGCGACGCTGTGTTTGTCTCCGTCGTGTTTCAGATGCCAGTAAAGCAGCGTTTATGGCCTCGCCCAGTTCCTGCTTCTTAGCCAATCGCAACAAAGCCACGGCTGCCACCGACCAATCAGTGAAGAACGAGTCTCTGGGAGAACACGTCTACATGTCTCTGTCCACCAATCAGCAGCAAATCCTGGAAGCAAAAACTGTTCTCTACCAGGGGACCGACCCTTCTGGGTTCACAGTTTCAGGTAAAAGGAGAGCAGCTACATTTCAGAAGTGGTCTCACACCTCAACACTTTACCCTCTAAAATCTGATCTCTTCAACCTTAAAACCCTACTGATGCACTTGGCAAACACACATCCCTTCTTGTCGACTGAATGAAAGTTTTTTTGTAGCAAGGTGTAGCGCATATCTATTAAAACCACATGCAAACGTCCAACAAAGCTAATTGCTCGTCTGTGAGAAAAATGACACTGAATTTATATCAAATTTAATCATAGTTACAACCTACGTACAGCTCTTCACATGCATTCCTCCTGTTTGAATAATTCATGAACTCGTCCCTGTATGGTATGGAACTCACATCTCAAGAAAGAGCAGAACTAAAGCTTTGTAATTGTGCTTATTCCATATTTACAGATGATATGAAGACAGATACAACTTCTGCAATGTAACCTTATATCTTCACTAATATCCTCAATCATTTTCAGAGTTCTTGAATCAGTCCTGATTATTTCACAAAGCACCGCATAGCAAAATGAGCAGCAGAACCTGCCCTTCCTAATGCCCTTTGTTTCTTTGCTCCAAAATGCTATTGAGGCATCTGGTTTTGAAGATTTCTGCACTGTCTCCAACATACGGCTGATGCTACATGGCACTTTGCCTGAAACAATTGCTTTTTATTGCAATGATTCCAAGATTGTGGTCAAAATAAATAAGATAGGACATTTATTTCCATGAGGCACCAAGGTTTTGCAAGGTTCCAGAAATTCTCCCCAATGCAAATATGAACAGATATCGCTACTGTCAGCATTTTATAGTGACAATAACAATTACATAATTTGTTGTCCTTAATAAAGGCTAATATAAACATCTAGATAGCCTAGACTGTTCTGAAAAATCAAGATCCAGCAAGTATGGCGAGTTCTTATAATGACCGAGATAAGAGCTTAAAGGTAAAACTGTCAGAGTTAAGATAATAATTATTAAACGCTGATAACAACCCATATCACTGTCTTAGATGTGGCTATTTTAAAAAGACTCTGATTTAATGCCCTGAAAATAGTGTATCAGTGAAATGTTATGCAGAGATAAATCATTTCAGATGACAGAAGCAATAAAAAATCTGAAGTCTGAACATTTTTCCTTGTTACGTTTTTAGAATTAAGTCTCCACATAAACAGCAATCTTGCTTTTTCGTGGGAACTCTGATATGTTGTTTTCTCTGACCATGAGAACAGATTTTCTGAAGCCTTAAGTGCCGACACAACATGACAAAAACGTATTCGGACACCCAAACATTGCATCCATATGTTCTAAGTCATGACCATCAGAGAGGTCAGACATCCATGTTGGATTCTGAAGTTTGGCTGCCGTCTATGTTCCAGTTCGAGTAGACTTAAGAATTTCTTTGTAATAGGACAATGGTATGAAGTTGCTAGCTGTACCTTTGTACCTTTATACCATTGTCCTATTACAAAGAAATTCTTAAGTCTACTTGTACTTTGAGGACAAAATGAACATCTTCGCTACAGTGTGTTCCAGTTCATCCTAAAGCTGTTAGAGGTTGAGGCTCTGTGCAGGTCAGTTGTTCCAACCAAACTGAGAAAAGTCAAGTCAGCTTGACACCGCCTCAGTCTTTACCGTCTCAATTTTAAAACTTTAGGAATCAAGCATAGATGTCATGTGTAAAGAACATTAGAAACAGGTCAATTACAGGACAATCAAGATGACATTATTGAGATGTTGTAAACATAAATGAAGAATATGCATCCAGGAAGATGAAAAGCAACTTCCAGGTGTCACCAAATAGGTACCTGAGCCCATGGATGTGTAAGGTGGACTTGGATCCTGGACTCCCTCTCACTTGGTTGAAAGTTTCTTGTCTGGTGTATGAGTGCTGGTCGCCTGCCTCCTGGGGATTACACATGACCGGATATTACCAGCTTCATCGAGCTACTACCTTCAGCTCACAGTGGAGCTGTTTGCAGCTGAGAGTGAAGTGTCAGCAACACCAAGTCTGATGCTCCAACAGAAAATGGTAGATTGCCTCATGCAGGTGAGGAGCTGCCCCACATAAAAGAGTTTAAGGGTTTACGACTGGAGATCGACGAGATGGAGAAACTGAGAGGTGATTTGGGACTGTGTCTGTAGTCATGTAGATACTGTACCAGCATCTCGTTATCAGTCCAGCTATGTTTCTTTCTTTACTTATGGTTACGGGCTCTGGCTACTGACTGAAAGAAAGAGATTGTAGATACAGGTGACTATAATGAAGTTCCTCTGCAGGGATCAAGGTGAGGAGTTCAGACATTATGAGGGCGCTCAGAGCAGAACTGCATCTCCTTCATGTTGGGAGGAGCAGTCAAGGATTCCAACTGGACGGCTCTTTAAGGAGGTATTCCAGGTCTGTCCGACTAGGAGGAGGCTGCAGGGCACACCAGGTTACACTGGAGGGACCTTTTATCCCCTCTGCCCTGGAAAATCCTTATTAAGAGGAAATGGCGACGGATCAGGACGTCCAGGTCAAATAGCTCAGACTGCTGCGGTGGATACTGAGAAGGTTAGAACTTCTTTCAGGGCCATTTTCAGTGGAGAAAATAGTCCCTTTGCCTGGGCAGGTACTTCTGAGCCAACCTGACAAACTGCTGTATGATTGGTTAAACTCAGATACGACAACAAGTGGTGTCTGGTCTGTTCTCTCAGTGTCCTCACATAGTAGTCTTCTTCTCTCCAACATCATATTCAACAATGTAAAATGTGCCATTTATGCTAACATAACAAACCCTCCATTGCTCTATTTCCTCTGTGCTCATATAGCTGGAGCTACATCCAGGAACTACTGTTTGCGACTGTTGTTATTTGTTGTTGTTGTTTTTGTGCTGTTGTGGTTGAAGCTGTCCACAATGGAAACAGGAAGACTGAAAGGCTTTATTATCGGGCCATTCCTGTCAGTGTTCCCACCACTTTGTGCCTGCTGTGAGTTCCTGCAGTCTTATAATAATGGACAAACTAAGTCTTCACCACGTATTTATTTGTTGCAATACCGGGAGTGGGTACAGGGAAGAAACAGCAGCAAGTGTGAGAGGCAGTGCTGTGTCCAGGGTTTCTAATACATCCATTCCTGAGCTTCACAACCCTGAATAGAAGACAGACAAACAAGCAAGAGGCAAAACTCAAGTACACCATTAATACCTTTTATTGGAAAAGAAACAAACACACAGACAGGAGAGTGAGGAAGACAAGGACGACATACAGGGAGAGAGGAAGAGAGAAGTCCTTCAGCCAAGCCACCGTATAAGCTGCCTGTCTCTTCCAGCGTCCTGATGACAGCAGATAAACTATTAGAAGCTACTGTTAAATAAATACAAGCAGCCTTGTATGCTGGACCGATGTTATAGTCAAGGTCTGGTCAGGTTTAGACACTAAAACTTCATCCCATCCTCACAATGTGTGTTTTTGCCTCCAAGGAACTGTCCCCATGTGTTTATATCAGCTGCTGACTGTCGTGTCTCTTCACCCACACTCAGGTGCTCAGATGGACTTCTCTCAGGTCAGCGGCCCCCTCATGACGCCCCCCATCTCTCCTGCAGCGCTGGTGCACCGAGGCTCCGTCATCAACCAGGGGCCCATGGCGGGGAGGCCCCTGACATCCTCGTCCTCGTCCTCCAGCTGCTCCTCTTCCTGCCTCTCCTCTCTCAGCGCGATGACCCAGCCCAGCCCCTGCTCTTCATACCCGGAGACCCTGTACCACTGCTTACCTCAGACCAGCTCTGGTTATTTTCCTCCAGCCAGCAGCTCCTCGACCCCCAACTACCAGACTGCTCTCAGGTCAGCTCCATGGTTTACGCTGTTTGTTACGCACACTTTCTTTTATTATATGTCATAGCATAACATGATACATAACTATGTTTTAGTAAACGGTGGGAGACCTTTACCCAGATCTGACACTAAAGATGCCTTTATTAGATTTTATGTACACCAACACATTTAGGATGCAGTGATGACGATTACTATTAATAGAATTTTCTAAGGCTATAACTCAAATTAATGTAAATATTTTGTCCCATTGTTGCTGAATTTTTTTTTCTCCAACAATTTATTTTAGCTGTTTTATGAAATCATAAAAAGCAGTGATGGTTGACATAAGCAACAAATGAGGTCCATGTGAAATACTGCATCACTATATGATGCATCATTTAGATTCTGTTTGAGGCCCCAAGTATCCTGCCTGTTGTCCTATTCAAACAAAACATTGTACAGGCATTTATATTTTGTGTGGTAGTTTACATTTTATTTATTACACTGTATGTGACTAAAAACTCAAATTAATTAGTTATAATAATGATTGCACCAGAAAAATGTAGTGTATCCTGTACAGTATTGTGTTTTTTGACTATTCCAACTTGACAAGAATGTTTCTCTACAAAAAAAAATCAATTTAATGTTTGCAGTTTCTCATTTTTAATGAAAATGTTGTCCATTAACATAAAAAAAACAAAACTAATGTATGAGTTATTACATGTTTTTATTTTTAAATTCAGAAATACTGTCGTTTAGAAACCTGCAGCAGTCAAACCGTGATTATTGTATCCTGCTGCTCTGGAAACTTGGTCCATCTCCCTACATCCATCCTTCCATTCTCTGAAACAACAGCTGATTTTAGGGTTGTAGTAGTGACAGGGGGGGAATTCCTCCAGCATCTCCCTCCAGCTCCTCCTCTAAGATTTGCAGCTGCTCCTACACCTGCTGGGAGAGAGTGTCTGGTCAACCTGCAAAGGGAGGTGACCACTTCAGTTGAGTCTTCAGGTCAATTTTAAACTCTTCCTGGGTTTTCGACTTCTCACCCAGTCTCAGGGAGTAAGCCCAGATACCTTGTGGAGAAAACTTATTTCAGCTGCTTGTATCTACAATCTCACTTTTTCAGTCTTTAGCCAAAGCTCATGACCACACATTAAGGGTAGGGATGTATAACGACTGCAGAATCTGCACCCAGCCAATAGTTGATCACACAATCCCAGCCTGGAATAGGGACGTGGGGGCTCATGTCAGCTCACCATTCACAAGTTTCAGAGTAGGTGTCGGGGCACCGTGTGCTCTGAGGCAGGCAGTTGAGGGGACACGATGGGCTTATTGGATTTCAGCTCTGGAAAATGGTTCAAGTCCATCTGACAGTTAAACTAAAGGTCTTGTGTCGCCCTCACATTGTCTGAAGATCAGTTTTATTCTGTGTTTCAGGCCTCAGACTCAGAACCAGTGTCTGGCTTCGGTTCAGTCCCAGGCTTCCTCTCTGGCCTGCCACCTCTCTCGGTACCCCTCCTTCAATGACCAGCACCTGCCCAAAGACGTGTTCTACAATCATCATCCTGCATCCGTCCATCACTCGTCCAGCAGCACCAACTGCTCCCTGACACCTTACAGTTCTGCCGTTCGGCCCACATCCAGCTACACTTCAGGTTCAGAACCTGTACAGACTGAACAGGGGTTGGACCCTCAGACGGCAGCCCAGATTCTGGACTCAGCAGAGGGGTTCAGCTTTGTGGGGGCCGGACTGAATCTTGCAGGTGGTGGGTGTCAGGGACAGACGTACTCTGTCACAGGACACAGCGGTAAGGATTCTCCGGCTATGGCAGTAATGTGAATGTTAAAACTGTGCCGGTTCTTAGCTTTATTCTAAGTTCTGACCTGTATCCCAAATTTTGCTAAAGACACCATATTGTCCTTATTTCAGAGACATAAATGTAAAATCATTCACATACAGAAAACATTACACACACTTCCTATGATTTCCTTTGCTTTAAAAGTCTTTATACAGATACTGTATACTTCTGCTGACACAAAATCGACACATAGACTCTAATGTTTGCTTCTGTTTAAGTATAATAACACTAAACTGATTTCTTGGGAAAGCTCTAAACATGTGCTTTGGTGCATTTTGGATTGTGCCCCGTAGAATCCAGTGTTGTAGTGCCGACATGAGGTGTGAGCAGCTTAGCGTAATAAATTTGCAAAAGCATGCTTACACTGTGTTTAGAATGTAGACTGATGTGCAAAGATTGAAATCTAAAAAATCAAGAGTTCTGAATACCGACTAGTGACCCCTCAGATTTTTTTCAGCATCTTAAGCTCTTCTGATCCCAAGGTTGGGAATCCATGTGAGCAAAACAAATACCTCCAAATTATGAACGTGTAATTTTCAGAAAACACACCCAGCTCCAAACTTTCCTCCTGCAACAGGTTACTACGGCAACAGCAGCTACCTGGACAGCCAGCGCATGACATCACTGGTTGACCAGCACGTGTCCGTCATCAGCAGCGTCGGCAGCCTGCGTCCCTTCCCCTCAACGTACTCTGAGGTCCACGATCCCCTCAACATCCTGGACGAACCAGGAAGGAAAACCACAGGAGGGTTTTTCAGTGAGGCAGAAACCACAGCAGGTGAGTGCTGAAACACAGGTGGGAGCAGCCAGGACCAACACAGGCAGAAAACCTCAAAGTGTTGACGTTGTTGTGTGCTGTTGATCTCAGTTATGGGGAAAAGACAGACTACAATATTATATTAAAATTATGAAATTAGGTTTTATGTCGGGCTGCAGGGTGGCGCAGTTGGTAGCACTGCAGCAAGAAGGTTGCCGGTTCGCGTCCCGGTGGGGGCACCGGAATCTTTCTGCGTGGAGTTTGCATGTTCTCCCCGTGCAGCGTGGATTCTCTCCGGGTTCTCCGGCTTCCTCCCACACAGTCCGAAAACATGTTGAGGTTAATTGGTGATTCTAAATTGTCCGTAGGTGTGAATGTGAGTGTGCTTGGTTGTCTGTCTCTAAGTGTGGCCCTGTGATAGACTGGTGACCTGTCCAGGGTGTCCCCTGCCTTCACCCTGAGTCGGCTTGGATAGGCTCCAGCCCCCCCGCGACCCTAATGAGGATTAAGCGCTGTATAGATAATGGATAATGGATGGGTTTTATGTCCCACACAGTTCACCAAATGAAGTCTTGGTAGGTAGAGCTTTAAACCTGCATTCTTTCTAACAGCCAGCAGGGGGCGACTCCCTTGGTTGCAGAAAAAAGTCAGATTGTATAGAAGCCTATGAGAGAAAAACCTTAATTCATACTTAATCTGTTACCGAAGTAAACACTTACCTCATGAGTTTGATGTCTCAATCTTTAGTTTCAAGTCATTTTTAAAACAGCATGATGTTTGTTTGGTAAATGATGGTTCTATTTAGAGTAAAATACACAATAAAGCAGGGTGTGCTTTATACCAAGTCAAGTTGTATGAGTTTGAATACGAGGTGTGTCAGAAAAGTTTCAGGACTGGTGTCACAAGAGATATATTTCAAATCCAAACTACAAACTACAAGTGTTCCCCTTCCAAGCACTTCCCCAGCCGTCTTTGCCACATCGCCATGCACTCCTGGAAGGATTCTTCTGTCATCACAGCCATCTTGATGTCGTCCACGTCTTCAAAGCGGGTCCCCTTGATGACCCCCTTGAGCTTGGGCAAGAGGAAAAAATCCCACAGAGCCAGGTGGGGTGAGTAGGGAGGTTGATCCAGCACGATGATGTTCTTCTCACCCAGGAACTGTGGGATGTTCAGGGCATTGTGAGCAGGCGCGTTGTCATGGTGAAACAGCCACGACTTGTCCTGCCACACTCATAGTTTGTAGTTTGGATTTGAAATCTATCCTTTGTGACACCAGTCCTGGAACTTTTCTGACACACCTCATAGTCTCATATAGCCAGACCATTCTCCAGGCCTGACATGGAAGATTTAAAAAAAAAGATTACACGTAGTCATTAGAAGGGGAGGAGAAGGTCACATGACCTGCGTGGACAATGACAGGCTTATACCCGAGGTCTACATCTGGTCAGTCAGACTAGAGCGTGCATTGTGTCCAGGACGTTTCAGTCAGATCCAGCCCTCACTTGTGATTTGAAAACACCAGGATGTCGACAACATTTCAAAAGTCCATCTTTTAGTCTGTGATTTTCAGACATTTTGGTATCAAAGTGCACTCGTCTATGTGTTTCATACTTGTATTGCTCACTCTCAGCGGCGAAACCTGATCAAAAACAAATGAAAAGCAGTAAAGCGTGACATCTGAAGTAGGCATTTTTACATTAAAATTACTTTAGACATTAACTGATAAAACATCACATTTTCTAAAGCCTGTCAAATATTTTCTATTAAAAAAATAAATAAAAATGTGTAGCAGTCAGAAAAAGCTGAATCAAAGTGGAGTGATAGTATAAGGTGGTATAAAGTACCTAAACTTTATACGTGAGTAAATTTACTGAAATACCATGTAACAACAACAAACAGCTAATTTAGCGAGTAAATAGTTAAGAAAGGAGTTTTGTCTAAACACTGAACAGTCTTTACGTAACAAACCTGCTGCTTGCTCCTCAGATCATCCCCTCCCCTCGTCAGGATCTGCTCCCTGCATGTTTGGACTTCCCTCTCCGTTCACCTCTCAGGACGCTCTGTTGTCTCAGCAGCGTGTGGCGACGTCCTCAGAGGTCCAGGACCTGGTGTCCTCGCTGCCCCCCATCAACACTGTGTTTATGGGCGCAGGAGGGGTGCAGTGATGGATCCCCTACCTATCAATGTATGTACCAGTACGACTGTATGAGACGGTTTGAGGTGAATGGCATGCGGCCGGGACATTCAGCTAAGTTCAAGGTACAGTATGACCTTTCACTCCGTTACTAGGATACTCCCATGAGGGAAGACTGTTAAAAGACAGTTTTTACTGGGACTTGACTCATGATAACTGTAAAGTATTCCAACAACATCGCCCTTGAAAAAGTTATTTCCTCCATATTTACAACTGTATCTTTAATCAGTGCAGCCTGGAAATAATAACAAATAATACCAAACACTGCTTTCGTCCCCTACATGATGCTTCCACTTCTTCTTGTGCACAAAATGTTGTAAATAAAGACTTGGAAGTCAAAATAGTGTGCTCTTCATTGACTGCACTACAGATTAAAGCAGCCTAACGTCACTGCTGCTCTGCTCTGGCTTGTCTTTCACCAATCAGGCAGTAGAAACGCTGGACACGGTGCACAGTTTGCTCAGAATTCTTGCTGCTTTGTTTCACAGTAATAGTTTTTTTTTTTCTACCCCAGAATCCTTCCATTGGACTTTTAGAGGCAACAGAAAGGGCTTATTTATGCTCCAACTTTAATTTTTATTGAAAAGGATGAAAATGTCAGACAGGAGGCGCTTGCTATCACTGAGTTTACTCGCTGCCTTTACAGTTTAAACCTTGTCTCCTAAACTACTAAACTGAAAAAAGCAATTATGTTTTGAAGGACATTTTGAACCATGGGAGGGCAGTTTGGGAGGATCAGATCAGCCCAGTTATGACTTCTACAAAGATTTAAAAATAAGTCCAAAACCTCAGAAAAGCAACCATACGCATACATATAACACAAATATCATAAAAACACTCATTAAATATTTTTTTCTCGCATTCAAGTACAGAATAAACTGTACCCCCAGTAGTATGAAACTTTCCCACTTCTCTCCAATAATTATCTGATTTTAAAGCACCAAAGTAGGAAACATTCACACAACATTCATAAAACCATGTTTAGGGACAAAGCAGCCAAACCTTTGAACTGTTTTTACCATCTTGCCTGTCAAGACTTTGCCTCACTTCTTTGATCTCAACACTCTCCCTCAGTGATTTTTCCACACAGTGATGAACCAAATCATGAATCAAAAATAGTTGTGAAATTAGAAAAATGCCTAATATTCTTGCTGCTTAACCTAAACCTTTTATTCTATACGGCTCTTCTTTGGAAACAAAACGCTGCTTCCGAGTGTGATCCAGCCAGCAATTACATGACATAATGAAACCGGGGAATTATTTGTGCAGGAATGTAATATCTAGAAGGCAAACTTGAGCCATTTGATTGCTTTTTCTTTTTTTTTTTTTTGCACATTTAAAAAGCTGTTTATCAACTTCGCAATTTGCCAAAGATGCAATCAAACCGTAGCTCTGGAAGGCTTTGCTTTAAGCTAAATGCTGCCTTAAAAATGCTCAAGATCATAACCCAAAGTGCTGCCCAGGTGATGGATGAAAAGTCAGTAGATCTTCCCTTAAGTCGTCCCTCTGACAGAGTCTCCGGTAGCAGCTGAAGACGTATGAGTCACATAAAATGGGAGCAGTTTGCCTCTGGTGGTTACATGTTTGGCCATTTGTTTATTTGCTTTGATAATGGCCACACTAAAGAGAGCAGGGAACAGTTTGTGCTTTTGTCCTCCTCTGCAGCAGATTGACTCCTTGTGAATAATAGACCCCAATAGAATCCTTATCTCCGCCGATTCAAAGACGCCGTGTCAGAGCGCCGAACGAGCGACTCTTTAATGGCCGAACTCAGAGATTACAGGACGGAAGTTGGACCGCAAACCAAAGATGGGAGGTTTTTTTTTTTTATTTGCAATTATTTGGTTTCTCTGTGGAACAATGGAGGCAGATATGACTCAGATAAAAGTGTTTACCAAAATGTTACGAGGACTAACAAAGAGACAGAGACAGAGCGGGGGAGAGTGGGTGATGTCTGTAAGTGAGCTGCTAATGGTGACTTGAGTAAAACGTGCACTGCTGCCTCCTCTTCAGGTCTTCAGCCAGATGGGACATAATAAAAGCAGAAGGAGGCTGACGGGAACACGTTGTGAATGATGCATGATGTTTAATAGCAGTATTATTTAGGATTTCTATGTAGCACATCATTTCTTTATAAATCAGTTGTTTAAGAGCTTAAAGGTAACAATCAAAATGGTCACAAACTACATCACTTGTACAAATTTAAACAGAAACATCCAATAACTAAGAATACACAACCAATCTGTCTTAGGTAGAACACTTTCTCTCATCAGTAGATAAAGACGACACAACAAGAACCCTCCAAACACACACTGTACACACTTGTGTTTTTTTTATATAGAAGTTGAAAGCAGCACAGTTTCATCAACAGCTGTTTCTTTCCCAGCTGAAATGTGACTTTTTGCCATTTCAGCCCAAAACATAACTCAATAAAACTTTTATTGGCTCTATGCTTTGATTAAATTTAGGAGTAACTCGTAATTTAGATGTTATCCTACAAAGTAGAGGGAACATTTTCTGTACAAACAGTCTTTATTTGATCATATGGAAATATTACATATATTTTTATATATATTATTGGAAACTTTTGAGCTGATTTATATGGTTGCCTGTACACGATTGATTCATTCAGCTGACCTTCTGTGACTTAAACCAAGTTATATTCACAATTAATTGTTAGAGGACTGTCTACATTTATACCCTTTTTTTTGGTTTTTTGCTCCAAATTATATGATCTTTTACAGTAATCTTATTTTATTTGGAAACTACAGCTCTAAAGAAAGCATCAGTATAAAACTTGATTCGATTTTCTTCTTTATGTGGTGTTTAACCTCTTTTTTAAAATTTTTTTTTTTTAAGTTTGTGATTAACTTTTGTCAGGACGTTTTTTTACATTGTGTATTCGACTACACAGATATAAATACGCAGCCTATTTATCTCCTGTCATGTAGGTTGTAGGTTGTATTAAAAATGATCTGACATTTGAAGTAAGTATTAATAAATTAAGTCGTTGTAAATCTGTACATGTGATATTATTTTATGTAATGAACTCCTTGTGAAATAGGCCATTATTATTATTATTATTATTATTATTATTATTATACGACAAAACTAAATACAGGAAGTGGTAAAATGATCAATTCAATACACTTCATTGTTTTGCTGTTTTTTATTGTATTGCATGTTAAATAGATCAAATATTCATTAGAACTGATATATAAAATGAAGCACAAAAAACAGAACACTATGTAGAGTGACATGCTGCGTACAGTAACTACTGTATAAAAACACAGAAAACTATCTTTATACTATATTTACACTGTTCCAGGTTCCTCGGCTCAGCTGGTGTGTTTGTATTCAGGGAGCGACTGATAATATCTGTAATAGTTAAAACTGACAGGCCACTTGAATATTTAATTAAAACTCAATAAAAGAGAACCTGGGTATTGGCAGCAGTCAGAGTGTTTTAGATGAATGGCAGTGACATGGCCGTCCTCCCTCCTCCCTTCTTGATTGGTTTTTATACGTTATCTACTCAGGGGGAAAAATCCATTTCAGGTGCTCATGCAGCGCTGCAGGAACAGATGGCAGCATATGTAATGATTACAGAATCCCCACGTTAAAATACTTTAATTACTAAGTCAATAATGTCTGCAACAATTGCCGGACCTTTAGTGTAAAAACAACAGAAGGCAGAAGGCAAACTTTGGGCCAATGTTTAACCAGAACTTTGCATTAGAGCTGATTGAGACAGCCTCCATATGTGTGTGTGTGTGTGTGTGTGTGTGTGTCTGAGTGGCACACTGAGCCTCACACAGAAACATTACCGTCGTTTTCAGGCCTGTAACCATCACGCTGGCCGTCAGGTCAGGTTGCAAAGCAGCTCTGCTTTGTTTTAAACCGTGTTTAACAGAAAACAAATCTTATAATCATGTAAAACCTTCAGATGTGATGATGATCAATCTGAGGAAAATCCCAAAAGCTCCAGTCCTACAACATGGTTTCTCTCTGCCTGTGAAGACATTTATTATTTTGTTATTGTTTTTTTATATATATGTCTACATATTACTTTTTAAGCAAATTTCTCAAAAACGAACATGTCATTATCATGCTGTACTGCTGATAGACACACAGCAAAGGAAATGTTCAAAACAGGGACGCCTTTTTAATAAGAATCATTTATTCATAAGTTATAATAAGGAAGTCTAATGGTTTTTTTGTTATTTTACTTGTTCAGATATAATAAAACGCCAAATTATAACACATTTAAAATGAAAAATGTGTTTAAAAACTATTCAATTGGCCGAAATTAAAAGCTTAAAATGTGTGTAATGACTCCAGTAGCACACTCCAAACTAAGATGTATTCATATCTTTATTGTTACATTATGATTATAAAGGATTCATGATATTTATACACGCAGTGGACGCTGCACTAAAGTATCTGTTTCGAGCCTATCGTGTTATTTTGAGGTGAGAGCAAAGAATGTGTGTTTCCCGATTTGTCATGTACAAGTTAAGTAGACTGTTTTCATCCACACAACACTTTTATGCAGCTTTATTCTAATAATCTGTTGCTTATTTTCTCAATTAATCCATTAGTTCTTTGGTCTGTAAAATGTCAGAAAGTGGTGAAAAATGTTGATCAGTGTTTCAAAAGATGACATCCTCTAATGTTTTCTCCACAACCCAAAGACATTTATTTCACTGTAACAGAGGAATAAAGAAACCAGAAACTATTAGAAGCCGGAATCCAAGAATTTAGATTTTTTTTTTTTTCAATAAAAAAAAAAAAATACACATAAACTGTTTGGCAAAATAGTTGGTGTCTCATTTAATTGTTGACACATAATTGATCCGTCATTGCAGCTCTCCCTTTGATTAGGTGAAGTTAGTTTGTGTCATAATGATGATGCCAGCGTCGTCTTTTAAGGACTAATATCTAACTGATATCACCGATGCGTTTGTGCAG